AAATACAGCCTGCAAAAGGTCAACGAACTCAGCTCAACCACCAGGACATCTGAACAGTTCACATGGCTGGCTGGGGAATTCTGGGAGTTGAAGTCCACTCATCTTAAAGTGGCCAAGTTTGGACAATACTGATCTAATGTGTGCTCTACCTCAGTAGCAGCAGCCAGGGCCTCAACACTAACAAGGGATTCTCCTCGGGCCCAAGCATGCCATCATTCTCTGGGAGAAGGTTACCACACTCTCAGGAAGAAAAGCACCACCTGTTGATTTGTTCACTAGCACACAGCATTCCATTCTGCACTTTCTCAATGTGTGTGTGAGAGAGAGAGCTCTTGTTTCCCTTTGATGAACTTCAGAATGCATTAAAAGTGAAAAGATTTAGATTTGTTGAGCATTGCTCATGTCTCGTTGATGTGTTTTCAAAGGCATTTATATTTATTTAGTTATTCATTTACTCTCCATATTTGGATGTTACCCCAATCTATTACTTTGGGTGCTTTATAGATATTGGCATTGTTAAATGCTAACATTGTTTGCAGAGCCTGGCTAACTAGCAGTAGGTTGTGGCTGTTGTTATTGCTGTTGTTTTGGTATTGTAACATTAATATTACTCATTATTAATTCCATTAAGCATTTTAATTCCTTTACGCATTAGCATCCTTTTTTCTTTCAATTATCAGCCATCTCTTTTTGCAAGTAAAATATCAGATACAGCACAGTTGCTTGTTTGATAGGCTTGTGCCTGGCAGGCAAAAAAAAAACAAAACTGTTGCTTGAACTTGCTAGGTAGATTAACCCAGACTAACTAATATCTGCCACCTAATCTACAGAAAAGAAAATAGCCATTGAGATGATTTTTTAAAAAACATTAAATAAAGAGATGATATAGTGAAAGTAAATTTTTAAATAGAGATTCATGCCTGCTTGCCTTATTAATCTTCAGGTTGCAAAGTATTAACTGAAAATGTTGAAGAGATTTGCTCTTTTGTTAATGTATTAGTTAAGTGCCTCAGGGTTTAACTGAACTGCAGAAGACTTCTTGAGAAATCAGTGGGTGCTTTTCTCATAATGAATTCTATGTTGTTTTCAGTTGGTGAGAATATGTTCAAAAAAGTGTTTAAAATCATCAATCACTGGGAACAGTTTTTCTTTAATTTGGGTAACAGGTGGCATATGCCTGTCCACTCTTATAGCCTTGGAGTGAAAAATAAGGGAACAAGAACCTTGTTCTTAGTTCCCATGTTTACCTATGACCAGAATATTCAATAGTTTACATGTTTTCTACCAACATAATAATTTAGCCATTGTAATTTTTGTCCTGTTGAAATATAGCCAACTTGTAATATTCTAGTTGTTGATCTTTTATTCTAAAACAATCTAGAATATATGTACTTGGCCCTGTACTTGATTTATTGGGGAAGGAGTTGTGATGGTGAAAATTGAGGTGGTTTTACACAAAGCTGGCCTGTTTTAACCAAGCTAACATGTCCCTGGCCTAGTGATTTTTCACAATATGACACTGATGTGCTCTACTAATTTTTCCTCTAAAAAGGCCAGTTACAGAGATCTGTTTAGCATTCTAACTTAGAGCCCATAATTTTATTAATACACTGAAGTTATTAAAATATGAATAATGCATGCCCATTGATTTGGAGAATGAACAAAAAATCCTAGGTGTCTACTAAGACCAGCAATTTTTAAGTGGTCCAGAGGGGAAAACAAAATTGAGAACCACTGATCTAGATCGAAACAGGTCTTAAAATAGTGGCAAATTTACTACTGTAGCAGCCTGTGAGAATTCTTAATTGTAAGTTTTGGATACTTTATCTTATTTAAAAGAAAAACATGTTTTTCACATTTCTTATATTTATCATAAATGATAAACAAAAGGAAGTATTGTTAGGCATGCCTGGACACATCCAGATCATATCCAGATATAAAGGTGGATATAGATATTATTTGTCATTTCTAGCCTATTTTGCTTTGAATTGTGGTAGAACTACAACTACACTTTGGTGGATTGTTTATTTTCCCAAATGTGAAAACTCAGATGTGTTAAAAGTAGGTAATTTATCATAAATACTTTTACTTATTTTTATCTACACTTTATTAGAGCTTGGCCACTGAGCTACAGCATAATGTGAAAGAGATGCGAACACGAATCAGATGTACTAAAAAAATGCAGGAAGACAAAAAATGTGGTGGTAACATTTCCAAAGAATCTGTTCACCGGGCCCAGTACTTGGCAGCATCGATCCTTAATATTTCAAAAACTGATTTAGATGAGATACTCGATGTTGAAAACGATGAGGTAAGTTATACCTGATTTGTATAAGAATTAATGTTAAATCTTTCATTGGTACAGAGTGGCATAGGTTCTTATAAATCAGTGGGCTACAGAAATATCAAATTCCTTTAGATTCTTTTTTACTATTATCTTTATTTTCTTATAGTAGGCCATCATTTTATCTGATGCTTGCTTGCTTGCGTATGTATGTATGTATGTATGTATGTATTTATTTATTTATTTATTTGATTCCTATAGCCACCATCTCAACAAGTAACTCGTAGTTGTCTTTAGTTTTAATTAAATAAAAATCATATTTTCTTATTTCTTTATTTTTTGCTATTGTTAATATCCTTTCTCAGATCTCAATTCTCCAATTATTTTAGGCCACGGCACTGAACTTTCAAATTTCCATATGCTGCCAAAATAAGTATATGCTTTTACAGCGTCTTCATATTTTTTTGCCATCTGCCTCCTATTGAAAAATTCCCTTTATAGGGATCTTTAAAAATTACTCCCCATATCTGAAGTCACTCAGGCCTCCACTGCTATCTAAATGTGGGATATCAATGAAGCATTTTTTGATATTACTTTGAGCACTCGCTGCTCACTAAATCTAATTTTGATCTCTTAAGACAGGGATAGACAGTTTAGACTTACACAGTCTATTTAATTTTTTGCTGCAGCTTCAAGTTTCATTGACCTGGAAAAAGGTGCAAAAAAAATACACTTAGAATTAAATACTTTTGAGCCCAGGAATTTGTTTTGAGTGCCAGAATAAATTAATTGATCTTATAGTCCTTCCATACAAAAATCCACTTTCTCCTAAGTTTCCTCTATTTCTGCAGTATAATTAGGAGACAGTGGCAAGAGACTTGCTATTCTTAAACAGTAATGAATTAGAAAACCTAACTCATTTACTGCAAATCATGTACCTGTAAATCCTGATCTACATTCTGCCCACACCTGCTTTAAGCAATTTTAACTTTTAATTTTATTTTCCCATGCTTATGTTCCTAGCTAGGTGGCAGTGATCTTAGTTGATCTTGAAAAACTAAGCAGAATCAGATATGGTTAGTACTTGGATGGGAAATCACCAGGAAATCTTAAGGCTAGACTAGGAAGTTGAAAAAATGTTCTGAAAGTCTGCACTGGCAAATCTTTTCTGTATTGTTACCAAGAACACTATTGATGTATCTGTGATATCACCAGAACTCAAGCTCAGTGCATAAAGACATTTTTTTTACATGTTAAAGTGGTCAGGCTCTGGACACACCACATTTTGCAATAAATTTACATGGCTACTGGTTCCTAATTGTACATGCCCACTGATTTGCCTGCTGATGCCATACAGCTGACAAATTACAGAATAGTTGAGCTTCATCAAGCTGGGAACTGAAGTCAAGCTGGGACTTTAGGACAGCCTTGAAGAAAACAGTCTGGAAATTGCCAAGAAAGGAGATTTTTCTTCTTTCTACTTTTTATCCACTTTTTAAGAATTGCTGCTATCAGATAGGATGGTCTTCTGGGCAAATGGTGTTAGTACCAACTTCACTGTTGCACAATGATATATTTATTAATGTGACTTTTATATTTTTTCATGTTGTGTTTATCTGATAGTTGTATGCCACTCAGAGTTGCTTTTGGTGAGATGGGCAGCTATATAAATTTGTTCAATAAATAAATAAATAATAGAGAAAATTTTACAGCATTTTTTTTAATTTTTAGGAAACGGAACAGATGAAAATGGAATATGAAAGTGACAAAGAATGGTTGGGCTATTTACAAAAACTTCTGGAAGGACAGGTACACAGTGTTGTCTTTTAACAATTGTTACCATGACTATGGCTTATTTATTTCATGCTGACAGATACTTATTTAATAGACCTGTGCAAATAATTCAGCACTTATTCTATTAGAAGTTTCACAAGGGCTTTGAAGCACCTTACACTGAACAGCTGCTTTAAGGAGTAGATCAGAGAGACCTTCAGTCAAATAACTTCCAGAGGCCTATTATTTAATGAAAGAGGCCCTGTCTCCCCCTTGGTCAGAAAAAAAGAGTGGCTGTGATTAATGGCAATGATGGCCCTCTTGTTCAGTCTGAAGGTTGGAGAGGATAATTCTCTCTAGTTAAGTTGGTTGGGTGGGGGCTACTCTGAATGACATCATCACTCATCTTTGACAGCTTGAATGAAGAGATCCCAAGCTCCCATAATGAAGAATTTAATGCTAGCCAGGCCCAAGGCATTTGAGAGAGTCTCATTCTGCTCCTTTCCCTATTGGTAGGTTCTCCTTCTGTTAAGAAATGGAAAACTGTCAAAGGCCATTGGTGTTACTGCAAATGTCTCTTGAGTGATCTACCATTTTCTGATGGAAGAAGTTCCTATCAGTTTATTTAGGAGAGATTTCCAAAGATGGATGCCTAGTTGAAAGCACTAAAAAATTCTGTATCTGTTTCATCTGGCAGGTGCCTCTTTTACTAGGAACTGAGAAATCATAATGAGGCTATAACCTCTGACATGGATTTGCCATTTTCCAATGAAAAATTGTCTGAGAAAGAGATGTCCTGGCCAAGCCAACAATGGTGCTCAAAAGTCATTAATTTTCTCTCCAATCACCCCTTGTTTGTGACTCATAGGAGTACCTGCCTAGTAAAGGGCCCTCCCTTCCTTACCCAGGATGCAAAGGAACAGAGGTGGAGGGGACCAGAAAAATGATAATAACACCAATCAGGTGCAACCCAAGATCCATTGGTTGGTCATCCCAAAGCTAGGGAAAAGGATAGCAAGTTGAAAAACTTCGGATACATTGAAAGAGTTCACTTTAATAGAAGTACAAGTACAAATTTGAGTAATGAATACTCAAACTTGTTTAAAATAATTTGAAAAGTATATTTATTCAGTTTATTAATTAAAATATTTTCTCTTATTTTTTCAACTTAAAAAGTATTCCAAATTCAAGTGTATTTTGTAAGCATTTTTTTTTTCTGTTAGGTTGAGAGGTTTTAAGTGAGATGGAGGAAAGGTTAAGACTACATTTGTTTGAGCTAACTTTACAGGTAGAAACTAAAACATCTAGGGATACAGGCATACATCTTGGCAAACGTATTAATTAAATTATTGAGCCCATCTGTATCCTTGGTGGAGAGAAAAGGATCCATTCTCTCATACGTCTTTGGAAAAAGAGATTTTTTTATTATGTGCCTTTAAAGTTAGTAGTTGATATGGACACCTGAGGAGTTCATGGGTTTCAGTGACCTTTTACTATGGACCTGTTTCCAGTCAATTCATGTTTTCCTCACAGCCAGACAGCTGTTTATTACCATGTCTTCCCGCATTCTCTACAATATTTTCTACTGAGACCTCAAGCAGCTTGTTAGTGGGAAGTAAATATTGATTTGGCATCCTGTCAATGCAGAAAGAATGAAAAAATTTCCACCAGAGGCCCCTCAAACATTTTCCTATCGACATTTTCTGGGCAGAGTGGAAAGCTGCATAGAGGATGACAAGGCTGAGACTAGTTGAAATCCCTGAGGGGTCCATTGAGACCGCCGCTGTGACCTGTGTGATACTTTTTCTTCTCTTTCAAGTCTTTTTTTTAATACACACACAGTCTGCTGGGAGGCACCCCTCTTGTAAGTGATCAAGGGCAGCTTATTGGCAGGTGAGAGCCTGCTTTTCTAGTCATAGCGAGGCAGCTTTTGTTTCAAGATGGCTGACAACATAAACTGGATTTTCAAACTTCTGTCGACTGTGATGCATTTTTCATTTTCATTTTGTTAATGGGGCAGTCGAGTTTGAAAGGCAAGTGCTTTTAAAATACATTCATGACAAACATCTTGATACTTAGCGTGCAAATGGCATCAACATCACTTCTGCTCGGGAAGAATGAATAAGGGGTGGTGATCAGAATTAGTATAAAGCTGTTTTTATCAGCCAGATAAGGATAGCACACATTTTTACTAAGTTGAAAATGTATAGTCCAGTATTATATTATGACTGCTATTTATTATCAAAATATTTTTGCTACAGAAGTGTCAATAGCTTGATTGTCAACAAATTCTGTTAATGTGACTTCAACAGGAAATAAGAATTGTACAGTTGCATTCTAGAGTTGATTCATATGTAACTCTGATTACTCTTAATTGTGGTTAAGAGATTTGGATCTGGCACCAGGAACAAATCCTTCTCCTTCCTTGGTTAGCATACAGATTATCACTATGCTCTGACAGTTTTTACTCTGGGTAACTACTCAGTTGTCACCAGTATTAACAATGGCTAGTGCTAAACAGGATTTGGCACCAAGAGAGAATTTATTAGGGGTAACATCGATGCAGATGTAGTGATATCTTATAGAACCTTAAAGATGGAAGGGTCATCTACTCCAACCTCCTGCTCAATGCAAGATTCAGCAGAGCATTTCTGACAGACCACTACCCAGCCTCTGTTTGAAAACCTCCAGTAGAGGAGTCACCACTTTGTGACGCAATAGTCAGGAAGTTCCTCCTCTTGTTTACTCTAAATCTACTTCCTTGCAGTTTCAATCAGTTTGTTCTGGGGCAATAGTAAATAAATCCACACTATCTCCTATGTGACAACCTTTCAGATATTTGAAGATTGCTTTATCTCCCCTCAATCATCTCTTTTGAAAGCTAAATGTTCACAGATCCTTTAGCCGTTCTTCATAGGGCTTGGTTTCCAGACTTTCACCATCTTGGTAGCTGTCCTCTGAACTTGCTGTAATGTGTCATTGTCATTTTTGAATTGTGGTGCCTGGAACTAGACACAATATTCCAAGCAGAATCTGACCAGCTCAGAGTAAAGTAGAGAATTATTTCTTGTGATCTGGACTCTATGCTTTGGAAAAGATATAAGAAAGAAAAGGGATGTGTAAGGTGATGTTCTCATTTTCTACACTCTGCGTTTTAACCAAGGTTCTAAGTTCTCCAGAGTTATATTTGCGCCAGTACCTGAAGATGAGACATCTAGATTTGTTCAGATATCATCTTATTTTGGACTTCTCACCATCACTAAAACATTTAGATTGTCAAACATTTAGATTGCCCAACTTAATTCAGTAGAGCTTACTCCAGAGTAAGTGTGTTTAAGTTTTTGATTGTATTAGATTTTATTTCCTGTCATCACAAATATGATTTTTGGGGAGATCTGAGTTTAAAGGAATGACTTCTAACTTTGTTTAGACTTCTAATCTCTGCAAATAAATACTCTTCACAATTTATTTCATTTTACAGCCCTTAAATTGCCCTCCTTTTAAGACTTTATCATGTCTTAAATAAAAACAGTTCAGTTCCTTATACACAGAAGTGGACTTGCATTGTGCTCACTTTTCCTACTAAGAATTTGAATTAAAAAAATGTTTCCTAGGAAACAGCCCTGAATAAGAATAAAATGACATGAAGGGGAACCTGAGGGAGATAGCTGGATTTTTGTATATTTATGAAAATAGGAGTGATATTATATGTTGAGAGGGGGAAGGACTTTACAATATGCATCAGCCCATTTTTCTGGAGAGCCAGAATCAGCTTATGTTTCTGGCAAATGCTATCTGGAAAGGGACTTCTTGCTTTTTCTGTGGGGACTGCACACTGGCTAACAAGCTGACAAAAATCAGAGCCTCTCTATATGATTTAACATAACCCATTCAAAACATTTACACATTTACATCAGATTTGTGATATGCTAGTCTTTCTCTCTGTTCTACCACCACCACCACTTTTTCCTTACAAAATGCCTTGCAGCAAAGTACATGAGATCACTTAATTCTGAAGTTTGATATAGTGTCTTCTTGTGACATCAAGCCTGGCCTCTGGAACATAATTGCCCAACAGTATTGATTTAATTGCCTAGGTTTATTTGTGGACTCCTAATTATTGACTGGAGGTAAATTTAATGGAGAAACCTTTATGAACACAGGGAAACTGCTGCTGTTGCTGTTGTACATAAATGAACAGCATCACATCCCTTTAGATCATTTTTCAAGCTAATTTTATTCCACTGTGACAGTATGATAACATTTAAAATGTCATAGACGTTTTATTTTTATTGCTGACATGCACCATTTTAGTGCTACATTAGAATTTGGGAGGGAGCAGTTTCATGTGAACACTAGTTGTTCTTTATTGTCATTTAAAGATTCCCCAGGAGTGTAATAATAAACGATGCCACACCTCTGGTGTACATTCCATTTCCACTTGAATTTTCTATACTGTTGATACTGAAGGGGATTAAACTTGCCACCTATTACAGTTGTTAATAATATGTTGGTGAACAAATGTATCTCTGACAACTGCTGAATAGAAATACCGATATCGATATATATGTTTGTATGTGTGTGTGTGTGTGTGCTTTTTATCTTGCACTTCAGACACACAGAAAAGAGATTCCCAGAACAAGTCATAAAGATAAATAACAAGGTTCTCAGGAGTATGATCTTAAAGAGAAAAAGGATTTGGAGTAAGGAGGAAAGAAGAATTTCATCTACTAATTACAGTATAGGTGTACAATATGGCAGGGGATATGTAAAACATGCTCCCCTTAGGACAGGGTAAACAATGTTAAGGAATCAAGGTCCATCAAGCACTCAGTCTTCCATAAAAGGGATCTGGTGACACAGTGACTTTACCAGAAAGGTGGAATCAAAATAATTTGTCCTTTTTGTTTTGGAGGAGACCTGAATGCGCTATCCTGCTTTCCCAGAGAATTTCAATTGGAATTGAACATTCTGTCTGGTTAAGTAAACTCTTCCTCCAATGAGTTCTTATTCCATATAATTAGACATTTCAGTTA